CCTCAACATCCCCTAAGGGTCTAATGAACCTCCTCCACAGCAAACCAGCTCCCAACCCAACCAGCCACAAACACTGAACAAGTGTTCCAGCTTTCCACTGGTGCCGCTCTGAGAATTTCTTCTTTGCTGAGTACTCCCCTTTGTTAACCATCTCCGTCCGTTTCCGTGTCCTTGGCCTAGAGTCGTACATACGCCCAAGGACGTAGCCACCCTGTGGCGCAGTGAGGTCTTCAACTTGGAGACGTCCATCTTGAAGTTCCTCAATTCTCCGTTAGTGGCTCCAGGAGCCCCCGGTCTCCAGCAGCTGCAAAGGACGCTTTGCCACTGCATGAGGTTGGTTTCCATTTCTGGTGGTTAAACAATGGGAACCTCACAATTGAAAATCCCTACGAACACCCCTTTATGGTGTCTCCTCCAAAACTTGGAAGCCTTACATTTAGCTCAAGATTTAAAATGAAAGCGGCTAATTTTCCTCTCCACTGTGGCATGCCAAAAACCCAGGAAGAGACCCCTCCTCAGGGCCCCCTAAGGTCCGAGGAGCCTCCTCCTTCCATGCCACGGACAGACCAGGACCTAGACATCGCTTTCCACACCTCCAAGTCTCCTAGAGGTGAGTATCTCTTGCCTCCCTCTCATACTCCTTGGCCAGAAGTCCTGCGCAGGCCCAAGGTTTTTAGGTCACCAGGTGACCCACAGGAGAGTTCCCAAAGGTAGAGACGTCTGCCCAAAGGAACTCCATTCCAGTCCGTGTGGGACCCGTCCAAGATGGAGACGTCTGCCTGGAGGTAATCTCCATTCCGGCTCCAGGAGCCTCCTGGTCTCTAGTGACTCCAAAGGACGCTTTGTAGCCAGGTAGAGTTCGGTTTCCGCCTATAGGCGAGAGAAAGGCAATAGGAAATCCCCAATCCAAAATACCTAGAGACACCCCTTTAGGGTGTCTTCTAACTAATCTCAAAACTTTACAATTAGAGCAAGATCTTAAACGAAAGTGACTGATTTTACTCTCCACTGTGGCGTGGCCACAATATAAATTAGACAACCAGTCTCAACGGCCGCCTGAAGGCACCTTAGACCGTAACATTTTAATTAGATCTCTCTAATTTCTGCCAGAGGCTCGGAAAGTGGTCAGAAATTATCTATGTTCAAGGCTTTTAGGACTTGCGCTCTCGCCCAGACCTGTGCGCCCGGTGTTAAATGGCCCAGGTCTTGTTAGCCTAAACCCCTAAACCTGGCCCTTGGCCCCCACCTCAGCAACTGAGGAGGACTCCACCTCCATTTCAGATGGGGCCGACGGCAGGTGACCTCCCTCCCGACTTTCCAACCCCCCTCCCGACTTTCCAACCCCCCTCCCTATGGACTTCCTACCGCCCCTCCCGATGCTCCTCCTTCAGCCACTCCTCTCACCCCTCCCTATGGAGCTCCCACCTCCTTGCCCGACACTCCTCCCTCAGCCACTCCTCTTACTGCTCCCATTTCCACCCACACTCGCTCCAAGACCGTGGTAGCGGCCCCCATTAGTCAGCCCTCTACCAGTCAGCCTGCCCCAACCCCCTCTACCAGTCAGCCTGTCTTAACCTACCCTATTGGTCAGTCTGTTCCAACCTCCCCTGCTAGTTTGTTGGCCCCCCGCCGAGAAGTTGCCGGAGCTGAAGGCGTGGTTGGAGTCCACGTCCCCTTTTCCCTGGCTGACCTTTCCAAAATTGAAGAACGACTTGGCGACTTCTCAGCCAACCCCACCTAATATTCCAAAGAGTTTTGATACCTAGGCCAGAGCATATAACCTTACCTGGCATGACTTACATGTCATTCTTACTTCCACTCTTAACCCAGAGGAAAGAGACTGCATTCTCGCAGCCGCCAGGCAACATGCAGATCAATGGCATTTAACCAACGCCACTGTCCTGTTAGGAGAGATGGCTGTCCCGTCCATAGAACCAAATTGAGATTACCAACCGCAGCAGCCTGGCTGCCGTAGGAAGGACATTATGATTCAATATCTCTTAGCCGGTATGCATGCAGCCTCTAACAAAGTGGTCAATTTTGATAAATTAAAGGAAATTATCCAACATCCAGATGAGAACCCGGCTTCCTTCCTAAATCGCCTTACAGAGGCACTGGCCCAATTTACCCAGCTAGCCCACTTCCCCAGCCGGGGCAGCTGTCCTAGCCTCCTATTTTATTTCCCAGTCAGCCTCAGATATTCGAAAAAAGCAAAAAAAGGTTGAAGATGGGCCTCAGACCCCCATACAGGAAAATTGGCCTTTAAAGTTTTTAACTCCAGAGAAGAAGCAGCTGAGGCCGCAGAGCTAGATAAGGAGAAAAGAAGGGCTGGGCTTCAGGTGCAAGCTCTAGTGGCTGCCCTCCAACCAGCGTTGCCCACTCTGCCAGCAGGGAAGACACAGGGCAAGTCTCCCAAGGGCTCCTGCTATAAATGTGGAGACCCAGAACACTAGGCAAACCAGTGTCCCCAGGCCAAGCCGGCCACTCCATCTCATCCATGCCTTAAGTGTGGCACAACTGGGCATCAGGCAAAACAGTGTCCAAATCCTCACCTGCCTACCACGCCATGCCCAACCTGCCAACAGGAAGGACATTGGAAGTCTGATTGCCCCACCAGCAGGGCAGGCATTGCACCTCAACGTGGTGCCTCTCCTCAAAGGCCAGAAGGCTCCTTCCAGCTCCTACACCTGGATGACGACTGACGGTGCCCACACTCGGAGACCCTGGTCACCCTCGCCGAGCCTAGGGTAACTCTACAGATAGCGGGTAAGCCAATTTCTTTTCTCATCAATACGGAGGCTACCTATTCTGTTTTGTCAACCTATGGAGGTCCTAGCCAGCCATCCACTATCTCAGTAGTTAGGGTAGACAGTAAACCATCTAACCCTCGCCAGACCCCAATGTTAAATTACTGCCTGGACTATGCATGCTTTGCCCACTCTTTCCTCATCATGCCCTCTTGTCCCACCCCCTCTTGGGATGAGACATGTTAACCTAACTCAAAACATCTATTCCCCTTCCCTTTCTCCAGGTGACCAGGTTCTACTCAAGGATCAACACCCTCCTCAAATTTTCCCACTTCCTCACCGTTCTTCATCTTAACTTAACTGACTTTTCCCTCATAAACCCCATAGACACCCTCCTTCCCGACCCATCCCCCAACCAGTAGGTTTCCCAACTTTTTACTCTCAAAGAAGACCTAGCTTGGCAAGGTGCCCTTTGTGATTTCCTAATTCCCATACTAATCCTCTGCCTTGCCTTATATTTTGCTCCCATTTTAATAAAATTTCTCCGAGCCAGGGTCCAAGAGATCACCCGAGTCACCTTCAACCAAATGCTCCTGCATCCCTACACCCAACTGCCAACCTCAGACCCTAACTATGCCCCCTAACAGCAGGAAGCAGCCAGACAGACAACGGTGCCCCAAATTCTTATAATCAATAAGAGGTTGGACTGTTTGGGTGAGGGAGAAAGGACAAGATGGAGGAAGGTGAACAAGAAGGCACAATCCATGTTGCTTCCAGGTTCTTCCTCTCCAACTTTCCCGTGCACGGGAAAATGCAGCCAGCCCCAGGAAGATGCAGATCAATCGAGCATGCGCCAGGTGATGTCAATCCGAAGAGATCGAAACTTACCCGGCCACGCCTATGGAGATGCCCCTATCACGCCCTTATCCCGCCCACTGCCCTCCCCCTTCCAGTACCAATGCATAAAAGTCTGCTGCTGGTAAGCACTGGTGTGACTTCTTCGGCCCCCGCATTTGTGGACCGGAGAACATCACTGGAGAGCGCCGGCACGACTTCCCTGGCCCCCCACACCTGAGGACCAGAGAACCTCGCCCGAGAGTGTGTGCATATTTGCAATAAAAGACTGCCACTGTCTTACATACTTTGGCCTCATGTTTAATTACTTAGCTCTCCTAAATTAAGTTACATTAAATTAAATTAAAACACCTTCCTTCTTCCACATGGAGGTTTTTCCATATTTGTACATCAGGAGCTTTCTCTTTCTTTGTTACCACATTAAATTCCATGGGGTAGATGTACCATAATTTAACTGGGTCCTTATTGAAAGACAATTGAGCTGTCTCCTAGACAAAGCCTTGTGCACCTTCCCTAACAGAGGGTCTAACCAAGCAGGCAGGATGGGATTATAAAGTAGGTGGGGAGGTGGGAGAGACTCCACCTTCCCAGGTGGGCTGAGAACAGAGGTAAGGCCCTGCAACAGGACGGAGGGAAAAGTGGGGATGAGAGATGGGAGGCGAGATAGCACCTCCCCATCTCCTGAGAGGCTGGGCTCTCTGCTGTCTTTGCCTCCACTGACCAACCACCATCTGTTCTTGCTCAGCCCCCTCCTCCATTTGCCACTGACCTGTTGGCCTCCCCCAACCTCTGAGCCTGCTTCTGCCTGGGTAATTCCCAAGACCCAGGAGGGGTGAGTGGTGAGGTGTGATTGCCCCCATCCCTTTGCCTCCCACAGCATCTGCTCTGGGACCATGAACAATAGTTGACAGCTCCATGGCCTTTCCTGTCCCCACCTCAGCTTCCCTGGGCATCTAAACCTCAGCTGCCCTGGGGTAAGAGGACGGGCTGAGGAAGCAGAAGCCTGAGGCTGTCTAGAGTCTCACTCCTGCATCAGCAGGCCACCACCTGTGTTTCTTCCTTGTGCAAATTTGAGAGGAATTGCATAAAACACTGGAGAAATGCAAGAGGGGAAGTCCGCAAGGGCGATGGTTCCCTCTATGATCATAGAGCAAGCTGGTGTCAGAGCCTGGACCTAGAGCACTGTTGCATGGGAAGCAGGAGGAGGGTCCTGCCTCCAGGCCGGGGAAGGACTCCCTCTCACCTCTACACACCCTGCATTTCTTGGCTCAGTTGCCCTGTGGTGGATGCAGGGTGGGGAGGGCAGAGATCTGGGCTTGGGAGGGTACACACTCTCGTGGCTGCTGCCCCTCCCTCAGGCCTTGTCCACCTCTGACTGTGGCTCTCTGGCAGGAATAGATGGCCTGGCAGATGATGCAGCTGCTGCTTCTGGCTTTGGTGACCACTGTGGGGAGTGCCCAGCCCAGGAGTGCGCAGGCCAGGACGGACCTGCTCAACGTCTGCATGAACGCCAAGCAGCACAAGGCACAGCCCAGTCCCGAGGACGAGCTGCATGGCCAGGTGAGGATAAAGTGGGGTCTGCGGCAGGGGAGACAGCTGCCTTTCACAGAGAAAAGTTAATGGGGTGGAGAAGTCAGCTGTGGAAGGTGATGAAGGCAGGAAGATGGCTGCTGTGATCCTGGAGGGCCTCCCCTGGGAGGTCACCAAATCTACAGTAATGAAGGAATCACACACCTAACACTCACTCTGAGCCTATGAGCCATGTGCTTTCACTCAGGCCATGTCAGTGAATATGCCCAAAGGGCAGGGTGGATGCACTGTGGTCTGTACTTATGCAAATGAGGAAATAGGTCTACAGAGGGTACAGGTGCAAGTGGAAACTGAGGAGAGGGATTGGCCATACCTTTCCCAGCCTTAATTACGTGCCAGCCCACAGAGCTCAGCAGCACAGTAGAAGAGGAGCTGGGCCATCATGGTCATGGTGCAGCCTACATGTACAAACGGGCCAGGTTTCCACCCCCATTAGGTACTGAAGAGACAGCAACCAATCTGATATGCTGGGGAGACTTCCCAGTCAAGAGGCCCTTGGCCTTGGCCTGGGAAGATGAGTAAGAGTTTTCCAGAAGGAAAAAGCAGGGAAGGGCAGTCTGGCAGAGGACAGCATGCACACAGGTCAGAGGGTGATGGCACGAGCAATGGCGGGTCCAGTGTGGCCAGAGCCAGCAGTGCCACTGCCCACAAGGAAGGGGAGGGGAGGCCAGGACCCCCATGCCACAGGTGAGGCCACTGAGGCAGCTCCGGGAGTATGAGCTCCAATTTGAATTCCAAGCTCAGGAGAGTGCCTGTATTTCATTCCTCTGATCTCCTGGTCTGCTCTCTAGAAGGGGTCACATTCCCAGAGGGCTGGGGTATGTGCCCAGGGAGACACTGTGGTATGGATAGGCTCCGAGGGCTAAAGCAAAGAGAGGACAGCCTGGAAGCCCCATGACATCTGAGTCATTCCCAACATTCCATTTGCTTATTTTTAAATCGGAGTAAAATTTAAAATAAATAAATAAAAGAAGTTCTCCATTTGAGCCGTTTTTAACTGTATGGTTCAGTGGTATTAAGTATGCTCATGTGGTTGTGCAACTGTCACCACCATCCATCTCCTGACCTCTTTCATCCACTAAAACTGAAACGGAAACTCTGTGCCCACCACTTCATTTGCTTTTCAGAACCTTCTAGAGCATCTACTCTTTGCCAAGAAATGTTGCAGATGTAGACTTTGAGAGATACAGATGATTATCATGCTCAGGGCCATGAACTATATGAGAGTGATATTTGTTGAGCCACTTCTATAACCAGGAAGTACTTTTCATTATATTCAGTAACTCTTTTCAGAGGCAGAAACCCCTGACCCTGACTGGCAAAACCCATCTCTGCCAAACCCCAAGACCCACGATGTGCAAGGGTCTTGCGGGAAGACCAAGAGTTGGGACATCCAAGGAAAAGCAAGTGTGAAGTCAGGCCGGCAGGAAAGCATGTTCTGTGTCAGCCCGCACTGGGCGTGGGCCAGGGTGTGGGAGATGGGTAGATCTGGCTCGACTCCCATGGATTTCCCTGTTGTTTCTCCTGGGTGCTCAGACCTGTCACGCCTCTGCCATCACTTGACCCTAGGTGCGAGGGTTCATCCCAGAAATTTTATGCAACTGATTCATGATTTCTCAGGTTTTCTGAGTCCAGGCCTAGAGTGATTTCCAAAGAGAAACCTCCACCATTTCTGCTTGTCTTGCCTGCCTTGTATTTACCTTCCTAGGATGGCCTTTCCCACATTTAGTCAAGTCCGGGTTCAGGCCCACGTGCAGGCTACAGCTCCTCTGTTCCCCCACGACTCTCAGGATCTATTTAGAGTCTCCTTGCCCGGACTTCCAGACCCTGGGAAAACCAGACCAGCCCCTTGACCTCCACCCTTCCGCACAACCTGGGCCAGGTTCGTCTCCTCCCTGTCCTGAGTTAAATCTTAACCCTACTATATACCACAGGTGTAGCTTACTGAAACATTGTAAAAATGGGGGTAAGGATTCATACTGGGTTGTTAAAAGGATAAAGTGCAAAAGCCTTGGGGACTTTGCACCTACCGTGTTCTATGCCTGAGTGTTCTTTGTCTTCCCTGTACACACAGCCCACCCACCCACTAAAACCATACCCTCCGTGAGGGTAGAGATGTTACTTGCTTTGTTCACTGGGGTGTTCCTAGGACCTAGCACAGTGCCTGATGTCTAATAAGCACTCAGTTAATATTGGCTGGATGCAAAATGGATGATATAAATAAGCGGAATAACATGAAATAACTTTTTCAACCATTAAGAACTGTACAAACAATAATTACTCTCCCAGAGAGTGGCTCCCCTCCATTATGCTCCGTTAAAAGCCAATATTGGCCAGGCATGATGGCTTACATCTGTAATCGTAGCACTTTGGGAAGCTGAGATGAGAGGATTGCTTGAGCCCAGGAGTTTGAGACTAGCCTGGGAACCATAGTGAGACCCCATCTCTCTTTTTTTTTTTAATTATTATACTTTAAGTTCTGGGGTACATGTGCACAACGTGCAGGTTTGTTACATATGTGTACATGTGCCATATTGGTGTGCTGCACCCATTAACTTGTCATTTACATTAGGTATATGTCCTAATGCTGTCCCTCTCACAGTCCCGCACCCCACCACAGGCCTCAGTGTGTGATATTCCCTTCCTGTGTCCTAGTGTTCTCATTGCTCAGTTCCCACCTATGAGTGAGAACATGCGGTGTTTGGTTTTCTGTCCTTGCAACAGTTTGCTCAGAATGATGTTTTTCAGCTTCATCCACGTCCCTACAAAGGACAAGAACTCATCCTTTTTTATGGCTGCATATGATTCCATGGAGTATATGTGCCATATTTTCCTAGTCTATCAATGATGGACATTTGGGTTGGTTCAAAATCTTTGCTATTGTGAATAGTGCCGCAAAACATACGTGTGCACATGTCTTTATAGCAGCGTGATTTGTAATCCTTTGGGTATATACCCAGAAATGGGATGGCTGGGTCAAATGATATTTCTAGTTCTAGATCCTTGAGGAATCACCACACTGTCTTCCACAATGGCTGAACTAGTTTACAGTCCCACCAACAGTGTAAAAGTGTTCCTATTTCTCCACATCCTCTCCAGCACCTGTTGTTTCCTGACTTTTTAATGATCACTATTCTAACTGGTGTGAAATGGTATCTCATTGTGGTTTTGATTTGCATTTATGTGATGGCCAGTGATGATGAGCATTTTTTCATGTGTCTGTTTGCTGCATAATTGTCTTCTTTTGAGAAGTGTCTGTTCATATCCTTTGCCCACTTTTTGAAGGGGTGGTTTGATTTTTTTCTCGTAAATTTGTTTACGTTCTTTGTAGATTCTCGATATTAGCCCTTTTTCAGATGAGTAGATTGCACAAATTTTCTCCCATTCTCTAGGTTGCCTTTTCACTCTGATGGTAGTTTCTTTTGCTGTGCAGAAGCTCTTTAGTTTAGTTAGATCCTATTTGTCTCTACAAAAATATTTTTAAAACAGTCAGGTGTGGTGGCATGGGCCTGAATCCCAGCTACTCGGAAGGCTGCGGTGGGAGGCTTGCTTGAGCACAGGATGTTGAGGCTACAGTGAGCTATAATCGCACCACAGCACTCCAGCATGTGCAACAGAGAGAGACCTGTCTTAAATAAATAAATAAATAAATAAATAAATAAATAAATAAATAGGGGAAAAATGCACTGATATTGTAATTGCCTCTGTCCCCAGGTGGGGCTCCTCAAGGGCCCTCCCCAGGAAGTATTTTTCTGGATGACCTACCTGGGGCAGAGGAGCCAGAATATGGAGGAGATGGCTGTGGTAGGGAGGGACTTAGTCCTGTGTCTTCCCCACCCAGTGCAGTCCCTAGAAGAAGAATGCCTGCTGCACGGCCAACACCAGCCAGGAGCTGCACAAGGACACCTCCCGCCTCTACAACTTTAACTGGGACCACTGTGGTAAGATGGAGCCTGCCTGCAAGCGTCACTTTATCCAGGACACCTGTCTCTATGAGTGCTCACCCAACCTGGGGCCCTGGATCTGGCAGGTATGAGTGCCATTCCCATAAACATAAACTTCATAGCTGGGTGCAGTGGCTTATGCCTGTAATCCCAGCACTTTGGGAGGCCGAGACAGGTGGATGACCTGAGGTCAGGAGTTTGAGACCAGCCTAGCCAACATGACAAAACCCTGTCTCTACTAGAATACAAAAATTAGCCGGGTGTGGTGGTGGGTGCCTGTAATCCTAGCTACTTGGGAGGCTGAGGCAGGAGAATTGCTTGAACCTGGGAGGTGGAGGTTGTAGTGAACTGAGATCGTGCCACTGCACTCCAGCCTGGGCAGCAGAGCGAGACTCTGTCTCAGAAATAAAACAAACAAACAAACAAACAAAAACAAAACATTAACCTCAGCAGAGGGCAGAGCCTGCCAGCCACTTGCAGGGAGGGCTTGGTCCAGGAATTCGGGTCTGAGGGTGGTGGATGCTCTGCCCCCTCCCACAGCTCTGGTCCCTTTTGAGGATAAAGCTGCTGAGATATGTGGCTGACAGGAGCGTTCCGTCTCCTCCCCACTCAGGTCAACCAGAGCTGGCGCAAAGAGCGCATCCTGAATGTGCCCCTGTGCAAAGAGGACTGTGAGCGATGGTGGGAGGACTGTCGCACCTCCTACACCTGCAAAAGCAACTGGCACAAAGGCTGGAATTGGACCTCAGGTGAGGGCCGGGAGGAGAGGAGATGAGGAGTGGGAGTGGGGCTTTAGGGTTGGGAGGGGTGCAGTCTGGCCCAGAAACTCAGGGTCTTATGTTCTCCTCCCTCAGGGATTAATGAGTGTCCGGCCCGGGCCCTCTGCCGCACCTTTGAGTCCTACTTCCCCACTCCAGCCGCCCTTTGTGAAGGCCTCTGGAGCCACTCCTTCAAGGTCAGTAACTACAGTGGAGGGAGCGGCCGCTGCATCCAGATGTGGTTTGGCTCAACCCAGGGCAACGCCAATGAGGAGGTGGCCAAGTTCTATGCTGCGACCATGAATGCTGGGGCCCCGTCCCATGGGATTATTGGTTCCTGATCCAAGAAGGGTCCTCTGGGGTTCTTCCGACAACCTATCCTACTAGACAAATCCACATGTGTCTTGTGTCTTGTAATCTGGGGACGAGTGGGTTGGAGGGACACATTGCTTCATCTTTCCTACTGATAGGCCCCGAATCAGGCTGGAACTGGCTTGATGTTCACTGGGAAGCAGGGTGTGGCGGTTGAGCCAGAATCTAGGTATCCATCCCTTAGTCTGGTTCTCCTGAGACCCTTCCCCTCACACCAAGCTCATTACTCCCACACTACACATGGACAAGGGCACAGGTGGAGGGGAGATGGGCAGAAACAGGAGATGAGTTATTGGGCTTCAGGTGAGGAAGACAGTTTATTTCCCCTTCCCTGACTAGATGTGGGCTGGGAGGAGATACCGGTTGGAGAGGAGGGTCTAATTGATAAACACTTGCCTTGTTTTTATTTATTTGAGACTGAAGTCTTGCTATCTTGCCCAGGTTGCTCTTGAGCTTCTGGGTCCAAGTGATCTTCATTCCTTGGCCTCCCAATGTGCTGGGATTATTGGGATAGGTCACTGTGCCTGACCTACTTTTTTTTTTTTTTGAGACTGAGTCTTGCTCTGTCGCTTAGGCTGGAGTGCAGTGGCATGATCTTGGCTCACTGCAGCCTCTGCCTCCCGTGTTCCAGCGATTCTCCTGCCTCAGCCTCCTGTGTAGCTGGGACTACAGGCGTATGCCACCAGGCCTGGCTAATTTTTGTATTTTTAGTAGAGACAGGGTTTCACCATGTTGGCCAGGCTGGTCTCGAACTCCTGACCTCAGGTGATCCACCTGCCTTGGCTTCCAAAAGTGCTGGGATTACAGGCATGAGCCACTGAGCCTGGACCTACTTTTTAATAAATGACAAGTAATGCTGCAATTAACAATCTTGTACTGGCTGTTACAAGATTGTAACACCGGGCACTGTGAGCTCAGTGGCTCACGACTGTAATCCCAGCACTTTGGGAGATCGAAGCAGGTGAATCACCTGAGGTCAGGGATTCAAGACTAGCCTGGCCAACATGGTGAAACCCCATCTCTACTAAAAATACAAAAATTAGCCGGGTGTGATGGCACATGCCTGTAATCCCAGCTACTCAGGAAGCTGAGGCAGAAGAATCACTTGAACACGGGAGGCAGAGGTTGCAGTCAGCTGGGATCACATCACTGCACTCCGGCCTGGGCTACAAGAGTGAAACTCCATCTCAAAACAAGCAAACAAAAATCTTGGACCTAGTGGAATGCTATACTTGAATTCCAGAAAGGGCTATTGGGTCAAGAATATGTATAATTTTGATAGTTACAACTTTATGGAGATTTTATCAATGTGACTCTGCCACCAGCAAAGCATGAGAGTGCCTGTTTCTCCGCTGGGTGTGATGGCTCACACCTGTGATCCAGCACTTTGAGATGCTGCAGCAGGAGAATCTCTTGACCCCAGGAGTTCAAGATCAGCCTGGGCAACATGGTGAAATCCCCATCTCCACAAAAAACTAAAAAAATCAGCTGGGCATGGTGGAGTGTGCCTGTAGTCCCAACTACCAGAGAAGCTGAGGTGAGAGAATCACTTGACCCCTGAGAGGCTGAGGCTACAATGAGCCGTGATTGTGCCACTGCACTCCAGCTTGGGCAACAGAGTGAGACCTTGTCTCAAAAAAACAGAAAACAAAACAAAACAAAAAACAGAGAGAGAGAGAGAGTGCTTGTTTCTCCACAACCTTGTCAACACAGTATGCCATCAAACTTTGGTTTTCTGCTTATCTTACAGGTGGGGAAAAGAGCATCTCAGTCAGTTTTCATCTGCCATTGTTCTGAGATCTTTCCATGTTGACCTATTGAGATCTTAAATTACTGGGTAATAATCCATTCTATGTGTACATCACATTGACTTCAGTCTACTGCTGATGGACATCGGAAGGAATGGGGTTCTTTTATAATCTTGACATTGCTGAAAGCCACAGGCCAGTCATTTGGTAGAATACTCCTCCATTTGGGTTTGCCTGTTTCCTCATGATTCATTGAGGTTATGCATTTTGGGCATAAATACCTTACACAGTTATTCCGTGCATCATAACAGGAGGCACGTGGTGTGGGGTTTGCCCATTCCTGGTGAGGTTAACTTTGATCTTTTGGTTGAGATTGTGTCTGCCAGGTTTCTCCACTACACTTTCCCCTTTTTAAGTAATAAATATGTTGTAGGAAGAGACTAGGGACGGTAGATACTCTATTCATCACCACGCTTCCACCTACATGTTCCCCTGTCTGATGGACCTTTTTTTAAAAAAGTAAAAACAAAACCGAACCATGTCTTACTACATTACAGCTCTTTCACCAACCCTTCAATGCTTTCCAGTGGTATCAACTGTAAAAACTAAACTTCTTCAAATTAGCACAGACCATGCCCCTCCTCTGAGCCCTCAAGCCAAATCTTCCCCACACCACCCCATAAATGAGCTCCAGTCACACTTCTTATGTTGTGGGTCTTTGCTCCAGCAACTCCTCTGCGTTCCTGAAATGTTTTTCATTAATCCTCTGCAGGCTGACCTGTTGTGGCCACTTAGATGGTAACCTACAATTCCCCCCTAAAATGAGTTCCGAGCATTCAAACTCAAGAAGCCACCCAGCTGATTTCTCATCACACTATTCTGTGCCATTGTGTGGACTTTTGTCTACTGTGTTTGTTGTCTGCCTTTTCCCTAACAAAACATACTCTCCCCAAAGCAGGGCCGTGTCTGTGTCATTTTAAGCTACATCCCCAGGGTCTGGGTCAGTACCTGGCACCGAAAATGTGCTCAGTAAGTTAAGGAATCGCTGCATCCATTCTGTCAGTCAACAAGTCCTTCTCAGCATCCTGTCCACTGGCCCATGCTGGTCTCAGCTGACAGGAAGGGAACTGAGTTCCTTGCAAGGTCTGGCGGGGACAGACAGTTCTGAGAACCAGTGACTCTTAGAACAAGGAGACGAGGCTTTCACAGAGGGAAGCACAGAGTGTGGTGTTGTTCTGCTGAAGCCCAAAGAGGTCAGGGAAGGCTTCCAAAGGAATAATGTTTGCCAAGCACAAAACAGCACGGGGAATGGCATTCCATGGACAGGTCTCAGCAAGTGCAAAGGCTTAGAGGTAATAGAAGTGCAAGCAGAATTCCAGGGTGGCTGAGATAGGAGTTATGAGGGGAGTGGGCAGCAGTTAAGGCCGAAGAAGAAACACTGGATCTGCATTCCTTAGGACGGTGCCCTGTGGGCCCCTCACAAAGCTTCTCTCCTGCAACTGCTAGGTGCAAGAAGTCAGGCTTAGAATCAGACTGAGATCAGTAGTTCCTGCAGCTGGGAAGATGAGTGATGTGAGATTGCATGTGTGATAGGCTGGCACTCAGGGAAGAACTCAGGGTTCTCTCCTCCCCACTCCGAAGCTCTGAGACTCCACAAGTGGTGAGGACTTACCAGAGGAACTGAACTTAACCTCCAACCCAACCTTCCACTTGCTGGTATTATTCTGAAGCCCTCATGGCCCGGGGGCCTGGCTCAGGGGGCAGGTCTCACTCCTGCAGTGGAGGGGGCATAAAGTTCAGTTCATGATCAGCCCCCCAGGCCAAGGGCAGCAGATGAGAGGGCAGGAGCTCCATCTAGAGGAGCTCCCATGTTCAGGTGTTCCTAGACACCTGCCTGCCCTTCTCCAATCAGCACTGGGGTATAAAGAAGGAAAGAGGCCTGAGGGTTCCAGAGGCCTCTACCTGCTGGGGTCTTCAGAGGACTCAACCCTCTGGGAAATACAAATACAATCCTCAGCCCTCCAAACAACTGAATGGACACCTCTTGGCCAAAGAGACCTCGGAGAAACTTTAAAATCTAAGTTTCCTGGCCATGATGATAAGTCACTCATACCTCAGTACACTTGCTTCCTCATGAACCGTTACCAGGCTTCTTTCCCAAGACCTAAATAGAAACCAGCCCTGGAAAACCAAGAACAGGAGACTCTTTCACTGATTTCAACTTCAACCAGCTGCCAGACTCCTTTCCCTTTCCCAATTTTGACATGACAGCTGATCAACTTACAAAACATTCCTTGCTGATCAATGACTCTCGACCATGGACGAATTCTGGCTGGTTTACAGAGGCAGCACACAAAGTTCTTTGGGTCCTATGTTTCCCTTTTGACATATAGAGGTGAATTTGACTGCATTTTTTGGGGGAGAGGATGGAGTCTCACTCTGTTTCCCAGGCTGGAGTACAGTGGCATGATCTCCACTTTCTGCAACCTCCACCTCTTGGGTCCAAGCTATTCTCCTGCCTCAGTCTCCCAAGTAGCTGGGACTACAAGTGCCTATGCCTGGCTAATTTTTGTATTTTTAGTAGAGATGGGGTTTCACCATGTTGGCCAGGCTGATCTCGAACTCCTGACCTCAGATGATCCACCCACCTCAGCCTCCCGAAGTGCTGGGATTACACGCATGAGCCACCGCGCCCGGTATCAACTGCATTTTAATGTCTCCACCCCAAAGGGAATATGGGACATATGTAACATGTATGTTTGCTTAGTACATATGCGTGCAACTCTCATGAATATTCATAGCTTCTCCTAAAACCTATTAAATGTGTTTGTTTAGCCAACTCTTTTAGCATAAAACCCTGTTCTACCCTCACCCACTTCCCAGCCTGCACATCATAAGAAATAAAGCTCTCCTAGGATCACACCTGTAATCCCAGCACTTTGGGAGGCCAAGGCGGGTGGATCGCTTAAGTCCAGAATTTGAGACCAGCCTGGCCAACATGGTGAAACTCTGTCTCTACTAAATATACAAAAATTAGCAAGGCATAGTGGCAGGCACCTGTAATTCCTGCTACTCAGGAGTCTGAGGCACGAGAATCACTTGAACCCAGGAGGCAGAGGTTGCAGTTAGATCGTGCCACTGCACTCCAGCCTGGGCGATAGAGTGAAACTGTGTCTGAAAAGAAAAAAAAGAAAAGAAAGGAAGAAAGCTCTCCTTTCCTAATGTAAAGATCTTGTGATTTTAAG